TCTGTCCTCTACTAAGGAAGGTATCGTTCTCTACGGCGATGATGAAAAAGCAAACTTATTGCCTGCGAACTATTCCTCGGTCTACTCAGTAGAATCTCCGCTGCTCAACAGCGGTTTGCCTGCACACTGCTGCTCTATGAACCAAGTTGAAATTAACCCCGAGGTAGTGGCTAAGCTACTGCTCGAAATGGACCCGAACACCTCTCCAGACCCAGAAGGATTCCCTCCCAGCTTCCTCAAAACAATAGCTGAGTACGTCGCCGCCCCTATCTGCCAATTATTTCGGCAATACCTCGAAGTTGGCTGCTTGTCCACAGGCAGGAAAGCAGGTACCGCCCTGCGCAAATACAAGGGGAAACCAACAAGCCCCAGCGAACTACCGGCCAATATGCCTGACATCACTCGTATGCAAAACCATGGAACGATTAGTCAAGTGTGCCCTCCAGCTGTAGGTGGAGGGCGCACTTGACTTGTGAATCTAAACATAATCTCACCAGCTCAACATGGCTTCCGGAGAGCACGCTCATGCATCTCTAACTCACTCATTGCCAGGGAAAGGGGCAGAAGCCATAGATGTCCTAAAAAAGCTTGGCGTAATATTCATTGACCTCAGTAAAGCATTTGATAAAGTTCCACACGTACGTGTGCTACGTGTTTACGTGTCTACCGAGCGGTGGCAAACAAGTGTCCTCCTGCGTTATTTGCCTTTAAAGCTTCGGACTTATTCTCACGGTGACTTACGTGCTATTATTCATTTTGGCTAAGCGAGCTCCTCCTACCATTGTTCATCTTTTGGATCTATCATTCGTGGATCATCAGCAAACTGTGCTTTTGCCATTTCGAAGTCAACCATGGTTGCATCTTATCGAAGCATTTATTTTTCCTCTCGTCGCTCAAGGACTCTTGTTGTCTTATTTCAAAGATCTTTTTGAGTGTCACCAGTACATCTTCCTACCATTCCTTCTAGTCGCTGTACAAAGCGATAGTTGTCAATTTGGTCCTACCTTGGAACAGCCACTGTCGTCATTAAACACTAGTTTCCAAGTCAGCTTGTGTTGCTTCAATACTACGCTGCAACGCTGCCTACCCACTTATCGGCTGGACCGCTAGCACCACGTTGCCTATCTAACCTAGGGAAGTTGTGACTCATCTGGACACGACACGTCTGACCTCTCTGACCTCAAACCAGTGCCGATTGTCACGGAATAAAAAGTGAAGCGAAGTCATACACGGTGCGTCAGTATCTCTGTTTTCTTGCTGCCTCTCCTGAACTGTACATCCAGTTGCTCCATACTACCTTTTTATTGTGGAATCTTTACACCATATCACCACCATCTGCGGTCATTGCTAGTTCGTTGCCCCATTACTGACCGCGACCAGATTATCAGTGGAATTATTCTGATGGTTCAACTTCGCGAATGTTGCGCAACCAATTGCAGTAAAGTCCTTATGATCGGAATCATCTGTTCTAGCTGCATTAGATAATACTGTCCGCAATGTGAAGGCAGATCCGTCAAACAATTGCGATAGACAAACAAAGTTGTTGACACCATTCGGTTTTACCCAACATGTCAAGTCATTCCAGTTGTCAACTGGTCATCTTCGCTCATGAAAAGTGCGATAAGATGACTGAGATATTCGCGCATTTTCTTAATACTAAGCTCGATCCCACGGAGGTAAAGATGTCCACACTGACACCTAAACCAGCCAAAGTACACCCTGAATTTAAGCCGAAGAACAGGGCTAGAGGCGGCAACCGCATTGCAGCGTCTTTGCCTTTAAATCCGCTAGGTCACCTCACTCCCATTAACGGACAAGCCTCAAACATGCCTGCTTCCACTTCTCCAACCATAGACGCTTCATCTGGAGATTCAGCCATGACCCCAACACCTCAGAACCGAAGGCAATCCGGTGCAGAAAACAAGCAGGTAACGTGCGCATCGATTGCCTCGACAAGCACACCTGAAGCGACATATATATGTTCAGCTTATTTACCGAGCACGCGAAGCAACGCATCTTTCATCGTCAAATCCAGTAGCGCTTTCTAAACAGCTTAAATTGCCGGTAAAAACTATGAAGCCGACACGCGCTAGACAAAACCACACTGCGTTAACTCTCGCGTGAATCGTTGTTCCCGAGTCCCCATCTGACACAATAAAAGGCAAGTAGCAGGACGATCGCAACCAGTGGAGTTCCGTCTGCGATGCAGTTGGTACTCGGATTGAGCCCGCTATGCTGCAACGCGTAGCGCGTCCTCCGACCTCAGTGCACTCTGGTGAATCTCGAATTCTTAGAGTAACACTAAACTCAGCAGATGAGACGGAGGTTGTCCTGCTCTCAGCAGTTCGTCTTCGTAACTCACTGAGCTCAGTGCACATATTACCCGATCTACCTTGGAAACATCGCCCAAAAGATGCAGTTGACCAACTCGGCATTCCTAATAGCGACATGAGGAAAACAACATTTGTTCATGGTGTTCCCGAGCTTCTGCATTCATCTGATCACGATGCGCAAACACATGACCGAGAGCAGTGGTGCTACATCCGCGAAGCACTCGCTGTTGACGATGCTCTTGCTAAATCCCTGAAAAGAGTTCCGTCGTCACCTAACTACAATGGCTGCGGTCCAAGACTGATGAAAGCAATATTACACTCCGAGGGAATGACGCAAGTTCTGTTGGATGGCTGGTTAAAGTTTCGAGTTAGGTTGCCAACAGAGATCCGGCTAAATGCAGCAAGCAAACGGCCAAAATTCGGAAGCAATTGATGGATGCACGCGATCAACAATGGAAGCAGCCGATCTCCTACGGCTTCATTATTCCCAAAACTTCCAGCAGGTAACGAGCCCAAATATTCTCGTTTCCATTACTCTGTCGTCGGGTTTAGACAACATCACCTTCACTGCGGAAGCTGTTTTTAAGAAGTTGCTATCCTTGCATATCCACAGTTCTCCGGAAGTCGACAACGTCCAACCAAATGCTCTGTAGGCGGTAGCCAGTGATCTAGCATAACCCCTGACTGTTTTCTATCAACGATGCCTAGAAGAGAACCATATTCCACCCGTATGGAAGCCAAGGGCCATCACTCCTATCCATAAAGGAGCTAGCCACACTGAACCTACCAACTACCGTCCAATAACACTACTTCCATTACTATCCAAAGTGATGGAATCAATCATCGCAGATGCGCTAATGCGGTAGATGGAAAGCCACAAGTTACTAGTCCCAGAGCAACACGGCTTTCGTCAAACTCGTTCACGTACTACTAACCTATTAACTGCACGTAATAGATGGACTGAAGCTGTTGATGATGGAGTAGGAGCTATC